TCGCTTCATATAAACCTATAGCAGATCCTCAGATTATTTTATAAAAAAAAGGTGAGCGACAAATATTTTGAAGGGGTTATTAATGAACGATAAACTTAACTTGACTTGACTTTATTGATGATTCGTTACGATTTACACGAAGAGTAGGTTAACTTCAATACTTCAATCAACCTAACATTTCTATTATAGTCTTCCCAGATATACTGGAGACTCACGCAGGATTGTTATTTCATCTCCTGATATTTCATCTCATATCCTCCTGAGGCCCGAAGTTCGTGAGTGCACAATTTCAAAACTTCAATAACATTTCTCTGCAGGTTATTAATTGAAAACCATGAAAAAAATTGACGTGGACACGGGGTTTTCATCAACATCAATTTCCTATTATGAAATTCATATAAGAAAATCTTGTAAAATAACTTTTCACAGAGGAACGTCATTTTCCTCCTGCATTTTTACCGTTTTTATACACTTTTTTGAATCGTCAGCTAGAAGAGGAAGCATCGTTATTCTTTTTCGATTTGGTTGATTTAGTGTTGCCTATGGTGGAAATGTATAGTCTGTGACCTGTTTTTTTGTCAGAAGAGCTCGAAGTCTGGCAATATCGTGATCAGAAATCAAAATATCTTCAGTATGTTCTCCTTTATTCAAGCTCGTCTTTTGAATCCTACTCGAATCCATTGATGTCTGAATTAACAGTATCAAACACTTGTAATAAAACCTCATCTAATTCGCCTGATCACAAATATCGTTCCTGACCAAAATCCCTGACCTGAAATATGTCTATTTCGTCAATATTTGTCAGGAGCTACTCGTCAGAATATGTTTAAAAGTTGCCAGAAATACCCAATGTCCATTCAAATGTTCATGAAATAAATTTCACCTCAAGAATTTCAATAGGAAAACGCATTGAACTGCAATTTTGGATTATATGTTACATAGACAACTCATCCAACGATATGAACTTCCTGTTTTGACATCGATATATTCGTTGGCATTCAGTAAAATAAATCCCAAACGTTTTGTTGATTTTCCGAGACATTTTAAAAAAATATTCAATTGAGTTAAAAGTTGAGCAGAATGCAATTTTATCATAAAAGAATATTCTGGGAAAAGTAGTGAGTGGAGCTGAAATCACCTTGAACTAGATAATTTCTAAGATTTCCATGTACATAAAGTGGCTGCAGCGATAGGGAATCGTTTCGAACAAAAGACGACGCAATTGATTTATCAGGAAATACGGGCGAGATGATTCAAATTAAACAATGGCAAACCCTGAATCTGTCTCTGCTACTTCAGAAAATTGAAAATAATACGCGGCGGGTGCAAAATAACCAAATTGAAAGGAGAGAAATGAAGCACGAGATGATTACCTTGGCGTCCTCATCCCTCCATAGCCGTCCCAAAGAATAAATTGAGGGGTGGCTATCAACACATGCAAAACATAATGTTGGCTTTCAGATTTATTTTTCTGTACGTGTCAAAAGTGATCTGAAGTTGTTGGAGATGTTCCTTTGTTCCTTTGTGAAGACTCAACTGCCAAAACTTTCATCAAGATCAAGCAACTAGCCAAGCTACTGCATTTTCCGCTTTTTTCAATACATTGGCACCGAATTCGAAAACTGATCGATTTCTTATCAATGTAATGTAAGAAGAAATACGGATTCCAAATACTGGGAAAAAAGATGATTGAAATTTCGTCTACTCAATAATATCTCAATTTCAGTGCACGCCCGATTGGGTTGAAAAATTCACCCCCCTTAATTGATTTCTTTAATACTTAAATTATGAACTAATTCAATCAAATTTGTCATAAACATTTTCAGTTGTGGAAAAAATTGGTAAAACATCAATCTCACAACCATCATATGCAGTCACACGGAAAAATGGGTTAGAAAAACTGTCCTATAGAGGTGTGCATGTCATATACTACTCATATGAAATTCTGATATTCATCATAGTATGTTTCAGTGTTACTGAAAACTCACCGCATACCGATAAAAAACTGAATCGTATAGTCGGAATCGTCATTTCATAACAGATTCCTGGCCATTGAGTCACAAATACATCTTATAAACACCATATGCCATGTCCTACTGGAAATATCAGATACGTATAAACTGAATCTAAAATTCCGAGTTATAACTCAGAATTTTGAAGAGTTTTTATTTTTTTTATTTTATGTGTCCCTTCCAGGCCTTCGTAGTAAGCAAATTTGTCTTGGATGTTCCAGAAAAATCTGAGCAACATGTGTCGAACATAGGGGGAGAGAACCACCTGCACGATTTTTTTTCAAATTATTCACTTTTGTTCAACCACAATTACCATACTTACGCCATTATACAATTCAGTTTTTCGTTTCAAGGTCAGAAATGGTCTAAAAAGTGATATGTGTGTTTCTTGGTACAGGATAATAAATAGTATTATTATGCTTTCACGATGTTGTTTTGTTGAAATTGATGATAAATACTTCCAAAAACATCAATACTACTAGTGCATCTATTTAGATTGCAATAAGTTCAATTCCCATCATACCTCAATAGAGGTGAGCGGTTCCATCTCACTAGTTGAAGGAAAATAATTCTCCTCAGTGGTTACGGGTTAATCATTTTAGATCCACGTTACAGTTCCTCCGCCAAATTTTAAAAATCGCTCAAAATTCCATCCAATTCTAATCTAACGTAAAATGCCATGGCGATTCGTCATCGTCGACGCCCGTGATCTCTATTTCCTTTCGTTTGATCATCCTTTGAGAAGCTCCGTGGACAAATATGCAGGAAGAAACGTTTACTGATTGCTGTTTGTATTTGCCAGCTGTATTTATCAGAAGCTGATCTTATAATTTAATATTTGGTCACGAATATGGATGATCGTGTCGATCATCTCGGCAGAGATCAACGTCTCTAGACATTTCACACCATGCGGAAATAAATTTTGCGGGGTGGAAACTCGATATACTTTACACATACAGCTTCGGGAAGTTCTGGGGGGATTATATAGATCACACAACACACAGCACCGATACGGGGAATAAAAAGAACAAATAAAAAATTGTTTTTTGAAAATTGTCTCTGTTAGCAAATGTTGGTGGTTGTTTGAGAAATAGTGTACATTACTCGTTAGAAGATTTATCTTAAAGGAAATGAAGGTTACTTCAATTGTTCTAAATTTGCTTCAATATTGTTTTAAAATTGTTCTTATCCGCTCTCAGAAGTCTTCAGAGACGTGTGCGAGCAAGGAATGACGTGTCATCCCAAACACTTTTTTAGGCCATCAGAAAAATGTCTGCAGTCGTTGGATTCGAACCCACCAACCGGCAAGCCATCGCGATTAGAATACCAAAGCTCCTACCACACGGCTAACTGGCATCCTAAGTATTCTGCGAGACTCCAGAAATTACCAGTGAGAGTGACTGTAGAATTGGGCGATATCATTCATACCGAATAGGTGGGTATGTATGGGTAGGATATCGCCAATTATTTCTAGGATCACTGGTGATTTCTGGAGAATATTTTCATTCTTAACAGTTAGACTGGGGATGGTAACTTAGTTGCCGAAACATGTATTTAGGCTTCTCTAATCATCAATGTGGTATTCTGGGTATGTTTTGTATCTGGTTATTCGTGGCAATTTGTAGGTAACTAATGTTGATAAAATGATAATATATTATTCATTATACAGGGTGTGTATGTGTCCTGTCTTGTTTCGTTTTTGAGATATAGGATGTTGAAGTTGGAAATATTCATTGTTTTTATTTATACTTAACCCCTTCCTGTTGAGAGTGTTGAGCTTTCATGGTGCTAATATTCAGTATGGTTGGAGACTGTCAAAGCCCGAAAATTTCAGAATGATCCTTATTGGGGTTATTGAGTAATCTCAATGCATGTCTTGAGAACACCTATCTTAAAATTAGGAGTCTAATCGAATTTTTATTGTTTTCTCAAAAACTACGCTAGATACAAGAATCACAGAGGGTTTAAGAAAGTTCTTATTTTAATTGTTCAATCTAATAAAAATATGTAACTCACAAGAACCAGTGGCTTACATTGATATTCCAAAGAAGGGAAGATTTGTATTTCGTGAAAGATAATTAATTCAAAATATTCGTAGCAGAGCGCCCTGTATACAGGGTGTTTCATAATTGGATGTGAATATGTCATAAGTTAGGGCGTTTAGGTCATACGTTCATATGAACCTCCTCGAACATTGACATTCAATTATGGAACACCCTGTATAATATAGGTATATTTTTGTAATAGGTATTCTCGCTTCCAGGCACAGAAACTTCGTCGGTATGCTGTAAAACTCGCGATATAGTGGGAGCTTTGTGGTTATTTCATTTGTTTGTTCATGGTGCCACAGGTCAGAAATTCCAATTTGACAACGAATGCCTCTGCAATACTTTCAGGCGAGTTACTGAATTTGAATTCGACTTCTGCGGATGGAATTGGAAATTGTTTCCGATTCTCGACACACTTTTCTCCAAGGAAAATAAACTACAAACTGAAGCCATTCGAATTGAAAAATATTCGCTTGCTATGAGTATTGTCCATCATCATGAACTGTAATAGTTCTACATTCTTAGAAATATGTATAGTGATGTATTGTCAAGGGAAGTGTACCCTTTTCTACGAGTCTCCAGAAATTAATGTACAAAAAATTGTGCCACCACAGTGTGAATACAGATTCACATTGACGGAATTCCTACAAAGAGAATCGTATATATTCCAGAAATTAATAGCTATGTATCAATGGCTATTGACAAAATGATTTCCACTTTAAAATACTCAGAGCGGACTGAATGAAAAAAATATTGGAATCTACTGCGTGACTTTCGACGTTCTGAAAATAGTGATGGTTTCACGCATCTTTCTCTCCTTCTTCTTTGGTTTATTGGATTCTGTCTCCTTCCGAAAACACTTTCTCCAGATTAGTTTTTTTTTCAAGTATTATTCTAACTCAACTATGTAATTCTGACCAGATGCCAAGTCCATAAATGTTCATAAGATTCGATGGTTTGTACTCCTCTTATCCGAAAAATTCGTTGTCATCCGGCCTGGGTACCGGCGTAAAGATAAAGGAGTACGATTGACTTTCTGTATGATAAGGGGGTTATCCGATAAATCCGTTTTCATCCGTCCTCTGGGTATCGGTGTAAAGATAAAGGGGCCTGATGAATTTCACAAACATTAATTAAACTTCACTTTAAATATTGGCGTTTTCTCCAGATCAGGTAATTAGAAAAAATTGTGGACTTAAACAAACATTTACTTGACTTCCAAACCCCGAGATCGCCGTTTGATCTCTACCACGTCCGGAAGGCGAATCTTTCACGAATCTCTCGCAAAGTGAAACATTATCACAATCGATGAAATAGCAATTTAGTTACAAGAGTTTCATACTCACCAGGTCTAGCGGCTTTTTTTTTAGCTACTTTCACCTCTTGGTTTCCAACACACTGATGAGGGTTAGTGGATTCAGGAAAGAGGTCGCAGTCCAAATAATCTGGTAGAGCCAAACCAAAAACATCCAAAAAGAAGCCGCATCGCCGTTTCGTTTCTATTCAAAATAAGAGAAATGAACATGTTGAATTTCTGTCTTTTCCATGGCTCACCTAAACACAAACTTCTGCATGGTCGTACCACGCCACCAGTCGGTCCACATTTGGGTACGAAAAGTGAGCATAAAAACAGTGCTGCCAAATCATAGCATTTAACATCAACAACGGCATCGTACACTTCCAATTCTTGTTCGGCATCTCTTTGGCCGAAATGGCCTATATAGTTCGGGAACACCGTATAATTGTAGGGCACCCCGTGTAACTTACAAAACTGGACTATAACCGGTAAACATATACCAGGAGCTGGGTTATCACTTTTTTTCTCGATGACTATCGGACTAGTTGTTACGTTTATTGACTTGTTTACTATTTTCACGGCTGTCGGATAGGCTACAAAACATTGAACAGTTTTAGATTTCGCAATATACATGGTGTTTCAGATTCAAATGTACATACGATACCTGTAGATAGAGGACACTTCGATGATTCCAAATCTTCATCTGGTTATAACTATTGAACCACTTTGTATAATCTATCCATACTTGATAGAAATATTCCGCTCATATTACCCTTCAAAATGAAATGAAAATGGGGCTCAGAATCCAGGTCCGTCTTGAGAAAAAACAGAAAACTTCTTTAATTCCAAGAACAACACTCTGTATGGCAAAATTGCGTAGATCATTTTACGAGCGCGCATATGATTTGACAAATGTTTTATTGTAATTTCTTGAAATACTAAGCTTCATTTTGATGCATTTTCATTGAAATCTTAATTCGAAATCCAATTTTTTACATAAAAATAACAGTCTTCAAAGTTCAACATCTTGAGAGTCAAATGAGGTGAACTATCGTAGATTTGATCGTTTGGCAGAATATAACTTGTCTATGGTTTTAGACATTTTTGAGGGCTCATTTTATTATTTACTATCTGATAGTTCATAATCACTACTGTGATATTATTGGTAGCGTTAAGATAATTGTTGGTGCTTGTATTGGGTTGTTACATTTCAAAGTGTTTATAATTATGCCATAACACAATAACCTTATTAACGTTACCAATAATATCACACTAGTGAAGATGCTAAATACCTATTTCAAAACATAATAATAAACCATCTGTGGAATCAGATGCGCGCTCGTAAAAAGTAGGTCACTCTATTCATTTCTTCCCGCTCTTTCCAAATATCGAAACAGATCCACAAAATTTTGCCATACAGAGTGTTGTTTTTGAAATAAAAAAAGTTTTCTGTTTTTCCTTGAGACGGACCTGGATTCTGATCTCGATTTTCATTTTGTTCTAATGTGTAATATGAGTGGAATATTTCTACCAAGTATGAATAGATTATACAAAGTGGTTGAAAAATTATTACCAGATGAAGATTTTGCCAAAATCAAGATTACATCCTGTATCTCAGTTATAAAAGACGGTAGACCCATCAATGGGGGGTGATTTGAAACTATTAAAGTGTCCTCTATCTGCAAGTATCATATGTACAATACATTTAAGTCGGGAACACCCTGTATAATTTTACCTATTTTACCAATATTAGCATCCAATCTACGATATAATTGTCCAAATGCAATGTGATGAGTGACTCACCTTTGAAATAGGCAGCCATTCCTGCACCTATTGCGAAGAGAGCTATAGCGTTGATCAACAGTTGAGCAAATCTGAATTTCAATCTATTCGCATATACTGACGATGGACGTCTCATATCTCTGATAATCTGAAACGTCGTCATTGTCAAATCCAGTGTCAATCGATGACCTCCCAAACAAAATACACCAGGTTGTGGCCGACCAGGTATATACAGGGTGTCTCTAGAGGCTCTATACCAGATGAAAACACAGAATTCTAAGGATAAAATATGAGGATCTATAGCTCAATGCATCTCAGTCCAAAAGTTGATGGTCTTTGAGTCACTCTGTATATATGGTCAGACGACCGATCGTCCACTATTGATTAGATCATCGATTGACAAGGATTGTTGATGCCTAGTGTTTCTCATTTAGGAAGCTATGTTTTAGGGACATTTTTTCAGAATCGTCTTCAGACATCCTTCATTATTCACTATATGCAGCGATACGAAATGTTCTTGCCACTCGTGTTATTTAATCCTCTGAGCGGTATACATTTTTATTTATCTTTCTCTCCGTGCTCAATAAATATTCGAAATGGTTTGGTTAGAGTACTCTCCTTCCCCATTTGTTGCCCGATGCATAGTTTCTTTCGTAATTTCCGATTATCGTTTCTGCGATGTTAGGCGAGTCCAGAACCTCACTAACGTGGATCTTGTTTAGCGTGGAGCATTCTCTAATTATCATTCCACGCTAAGCTAATTTCGCGTGGAGAACGATCAATCCATGGTTTCTAAGATATCTGCTGCTATGTTTAATGACTCAATAGAGAACGTAATGAAAATATCAATTTCTTGTCGGCAGAGCATTAACTTTCTTCAGCTGATTCTGCTCGAAAGTGCACTTTCTATAACATCATTGTATCTGAAACATCTCGATCAGAAAAAGAAATTGAAAAATACTTACATGTTATGTGGAATGTTCCACGCAAAATTAGCGATGATTGATCATAAGGAATTGCTCCGCGCGAAATTAGCCTGAACTCATAGAAAGGAGAAGATCCACGCGAAATGTTGATCAATGTCACTACCTCAAAGACGCATGTTGCGTGGAGTATTAACCCTCCACGCGAAACTACCATAGATTGAACAAAAGGGATTTCTCAACGCGAAATAGCGTGGATCAATCATAAGGGAATGCTCCACGCGAAATTAGTGTGGATTGATCATAAGGGAATGCTCCATGCGGAAAGTTGATCTGTGTCACTAACTCAATGGCGCATTTTTCAACATATTCATTAATGATATTGGTAATATTATTGACGTAAACTTTTTGCTATATGCGAACGACCTGAAATTATATAGGTGCGTGAAACCTGGGTCGAGTAGTAGAATGGTGTCAAAATAGCAGATTAGAACTGAATCCTGTCAAATTTAATATCATGTCCTTTACACTAAAGTCGGACCCAATCATATTCGATTATTCAATTGGTGACCTTTCTCTTCAGAGACCCACAACATTCAAAGATCTTGGCGTTAAATTTGATCAATCATTATCGTTAAATGATCATATAGACTCAATCCTGAAATCTGCATATCGAGCATGACATCCAATAGGTACATCTCATGGAGAGCTTCTTGAAATTTTCAAATTTGTAACCCACTTTTCTATCCTGATCCTTTTTTAGGTTGTTATCTAATTGACTCTGCAGATTTGTTTGAATTTTATTATCCCGAGATTATCTTCCAGAAATTGTGATACATTTTACTTAGAATTATCACGAAACAACATATCTAAAAATTCACTTTTGTATAAGCTGTGTATTACATACAACTCGGTGGCAAGGAATCTAGATCTGTTCAACTGTGGAATAATTCATGTCAAAACTTATCATCTTCTTCCCCCTCATTTGTGAATATCTAGATAGATAACTAGTAGTAGATAGAATGGGGCAACCTGTTGAACAGTGTGAGAAATAAATAGATAAATTGATAAAAATTTCGCGTGGAGGAATTCTGTAAACAAAATTCACGTTAGGGTGGTTCTAGACACGGCCAGAAGGGAATAGAGCCAGTCTGAAGACGTTCATCTTTCTTACTCGATGATGTAGGGACATATTAGATCCATTGTGGAACCTAACGATCGTTTGCAGACTCGCAGGCGTCGACACACTCTTAGTGATCGTAGTGTTACCATTGGCATCGTCTTCGGCACTCTTCTTGGGAATCAAACCCCCGTTCTGCTGCTTAACTGGGGTCCTCGGAGGCAGAAGAGGAGTCTCCATGGTCTTGGTGGTGTAGCTGGGCGAAGAGGTCTGGCTGAAGCTGTCGCTCGACACGCTCGAATCCTGCCTTATGGACACCTTCTGGCTCCCCTGGACCTTGGTCGTCGGCATGTTGGGCTTGTGCACTTTGGGGGGGCCCACTGGGGCAGGGGGCACCTGGCAGTTCCTGTTCACGTCGAACCTCTTCGCTTGGTTGATGTTGGGTGAGTCTGAGGACGGCTGCTGGCGTTGCGGGGCTTTGGGTTTGTCGGAGAAGGGGTTGTTGGGGAGGGCTCGGCATTTGGGGGTGGGTGGAAGTGGGGGAGGTTCAGCGGGCTTGTTCATCGGGGTGGGTTTCACCTTGTTGTTGGTTGGTGGGGTGGTTGTGTTGTAGGTGACTGGGATGGTTCTTTTTGGGACAGGAGGTGGACGCAATGGTAGCGGGGGAAGGTTCTGGAAATCGAGAGGTTGATGGATAATCATTTATTGTTAGGGTAATATCTATTTCGTATGGAGTCATGATATAGCTGGTGTTCAGCTATTATGAGTCTGAAGATATAAAAAAATATCGAGCAGTGTTCGTTATAGGTACCCAAGGAATAATATGTAACTTCACAAAACAGAACCACAGACTCAAGTTTGGAGTTTTCACCATACATATGATGATAGAGTAGCCCTTTTGATGTCTATTGGTTTGCGATAAAGAAAGGTCAATTCTATTCTGAATTGTCAATTAATACTGACATATTTTGTTGATATCTTCTTTTTAAGAGAAAATACAAGATACTCGTCTTCGTCCGGCCTTGCCAGACTCTTCAAGAGCTACGATTCACCCTTCCAGAAGAGGCAATAATTCTTCAAGACTGCTTGAGAAATTTGATAAACTCGATGCCACGGCTGTTGAGTATCAAGCTCGAGAATCGCATACTCGTTATTGAGTGCATGTTGCTTTTTGATTGTTTTTTGTAATTGAGTTTTTTTTTCGCCAGTGAGTGATGAGAAAACGGGGTGGAAATAAGTGATACTAATTTTTTTTATGTGAACCAAAAACTCGAGCGAAAACTATTGTGTTAGGAAGGGATCACACTTCGATTCAAAATATAATGAAGATTGAAGTTAAATCACTCACCTTTGCCACAGAGTGTTAAGATGTTAGGGGTGTTTTTCCCTGTATAATGATCAAGCAATCAGCTTTTTTCAGCGACTAACATCCAGGCTAATATTCCGAAACCTTTATCTAGGATCTGGCCAGAATTTCGCCAAAATCGGTCGAGATTAAAAAAACTTACAGGGCGATAAATTTGGCAAAATTTTTTTGCCAGTGAATGTATATAGTGAATATTCCAAATAATGTTCTCCTACTGATTTCGTTTTTGTAATTTTCTTGAAATGAGAATGAATTAACCGATGTAATTTTGATTTAGTTCAAATAAATTATCAAAATAGGAAAGGGTCATATTCAATTATTGCACCTGAGAATTTGAAATGATGTCTGCGATATTATGGACCACAATTGATTAAATCTCTGAAGAATCCTGCAAGTCAAGAGCCATAGCTCGGTCATAAATACAGAGACTTAAAACAGAGTCAAGAGCCAAAAAATTAACGTTGGCAGTTTGATTAGGTTCGACGAAAGTAAAGCGATTAGGGAATTACAAGTAGAATCCGTTTTAAACTGGATCTTAATCTGCTTTGACGAACGAATTGAAAGGAAAGGCCAAACAAACAAAATTGCACATTTCTTTTTCTTCCATCCTCAGACAATGTTCAATTCAGATACCTATCGTACAGTATGATATACACTCACCGGCGAAAGAAAAAGAACTTCAAAACATTCAGCCAATTTGATCGCCCTGTCAGTTTGTCAATTCTCGTCCGATTTTGGTAAAATGCTGACGAAATCGTAACTTCACGTTTCGATATATTGACCTGAATTTTAGTTTCCAAAAAATACCGATGGCTTGGTCATTATACAGGGAAAAACCAAAGTTTCTATTTCACGCTAACTTCTTGATGCTTAGCGCTGAAAAAATGTAAGTGATTGTATGCTCAGCTTCATCATGTTTCGGATTGAAGTGTGATCCCGTCGTAACATAATGGTTTTTGATTGACACGTCAATATTTTCATCTTAAGAGAAGTTACAAGTATTTCATGAAAGTATGGATTTTCCAAATTTGCAGAACCTACATGAACTTATCGATGAGTTATGAAGGGACTGAAACGAATCACACTTCAAACCAAAACATGATGCAGCAGGATGTTGGAGAATAGTTCTGAATTATTGTTAATGAAAATTAAAAAATTCCATACTTTCTTAAAACACTTGTATCTTCTCTTAAAGAGAAGATTTTGACATGAATGAAAAACAATTGTGTCGAAGGGACCACACTTCAATCTAAAGCATAATGAAGCTGACTTTATCCACTCATCTTTGCTACAGAGCGTTAATAAGTCCAGGCTGGAAGAGTTACATTCGATTTTCCCTGAATAATGATCAAGCCATAATATTTTTTATTGAAATTCAGGAATCTACGATTCGGTCAAAATTTCATCAGTATCGGAGAAGAATTAAAAAAGTGACAGGACGATCAATTTGGCCTAATTTATTGCTGACCGCTTTTTTTTACCGGTGGGTGTATCATCTAGGGTCTGAGGACACGAAAAATTGTGAGGATTATTTTCCTGGAATTATATGGATGATCTAAATCGATGTCAAACACGTGCAATACTCTGAATGTGTCTTGGAAACATCGCAAAGAGGATACAGCTTTCGAACACGGCAAAGCTATTGAGTCATTGTCCGAGCTGGGATGAATAGAAGAAATTTTGTTGCGGCAAAACGTTGAGAAAATAATCGTCTCTATGAAGGTCTAGAGTAATTAACTCAGCAGCTTGGTAATAATCCTGAGTGTATCTAATACCTTTCTTCTGGATGCACTCTATATCGATTGAAATCAAAAAGTACTCTAACTTTCCTAGGAATCGCGCCATCGGAAAGTATCTCTCCGCCTATGGGATTGGGCAAAATCAAAGTATGATGCTTGCACACGAGAATCTCATAAGATAAATTCACTTCGCAGAGATTTTACTTCCATTAATTTAGTCAACTAATTTTCAAAGCTTAATATTAATTATCAGAAATGAACATAGCTAATGGAGTTGTGATAGAGACTTTTTATCCATGTTCATTACTGGACTGGATTTGAGATTGAACTACCTGAGGTCGTTCGAGAGCTCGAAACCTAGGAAGATGGTTAACGAAATCAAATTACTTAACAATGATTCATGCCATTATCAGACTCTTTTCCAGACTGAATCAAGTATACGTTATCGCTACCCAGTTTTTTTTGGTTCCTTGAGACGTGAGTCCAGGTCTGGTTAATAACTACCTATACCTCCTCACAAACTCAACCCAACTTTGTTGGAGCTATTGGAGGTTACCATCACCTTATAAAGAAGCTGGCATTCGAAATGACCGAAACAGGTTCTAGAAATCTCAGTCAAGAAAACCCAATAGGAACACACCTCAGGGAAAGAGTGTTACGAATGGCGCTCGAGCAGGGATTTCAATTTTTGCGTAGTCCGTTCAATGACACACGGGACAAAAAAATTAATTGAATACCTATACCTTAAATTTTCCTCGATGAGAATTGATGACAATTATTAAAATAGTGCATTCATTCACCAACTACACATTGATACTGAATCATATACATAATATAGTACCATTTGAAATTACATTCTGAACAGAAAACGTATTTCTTTGGCCTCCTGTAGTCAATAATGAATAGGTATAATGAGCTCAAAAAGCTATTCACTTCTGATTCACTTAAATTAAATCTCTTAAGAACATTGATTGCCATTCCACGGCACTGTGAAAACCTAGTCAAATATTGATCAATGCTTTTGAAGACTGCATTCGTTCGAAACCCTGGAATATTAAAATTAACCACTCCCACTTCTGCATTCATACTAGAAAATACACAACAAATAATGAAGTCGTTGAACTCATCTCTTACTATATAGGACAATATTCTACTATAAGAATTTGTTTGAACAGTTCTTCGTTCGGAGCTCTTTATATTAGTTGGGTTATATTTTCCTTATTTTGTTTTCAGCTCCGCGCAGTTCTCAATGTGAAGGCACATATTAGTATACATTAGAATCAATGATCAGTAGGTAGTTCGATGAAATTGGATGGAAAAATACAAGCGAATGCTTCTCAATACTCACGTAATGATGTTGTTTGGCATTTTTGTCATCTGTGGTGGAATAGGCATGTGCTGAATGTCTTCTGGCGTAGATATTCGAGTTAACAGGACCCAGAGTGAGCGAAGTAGGTTGTAAATTGGAATGGACTCCATCCAGTATGTCTAATAGATCCCTTTCATTAGCCAAACTTCCCCATCTGAGTGTCATGGAAAGATGATAGTTTAGGAGAGTGGCAGTTACAAATTTATGGAGGACATATATCTTGCCGTAATCTAGCGGAAGGAATATTGAATTATCGTTTTACCAGTGCACGTAGATGGGTTAGGAGTACACTGGTTGTATTAAAATAGAGGATTAGAAGCTCATCGACGGTCTGAATTTTTGGATAAACTGATGCTACTGGACCTTCCAAGTATAAACCAGCTCAAACTCTTGCTGTTGAGATAGGGTGACTTTGACTCCCATTTATGATCTACACTACTTCGCTTTGTATTAACTCCTTCGGACGAATAATTTGTGAAGATTCAAACAAAACCTTCGAGAGGAAAACCAGGAAGCTCGAGAAAGGTATACAGGTCAATGAGTGATATTCTGACCTCCCAGTAATATAATGATAAAAAAGGATTCTAGGTTGGGGTGAGAATTAGAGTATCACACGGATCAATTTTGTCACCAACGATGTTGCTACTCCATATCAACGATCCGTTGGGAGTAACCAGTCGCTCTATCCATAGCTTGGCAAATGATGGTACTCTCCATACTTCGATCTCTTCCAGAATCCCCATTTCTTCCCAGGAAATGAAGAACTTGCTGAATTTACAGCCTGAGAAACCAACAACCTAGTTGAATTCAACGCTACTATAGCTCATGCCTGTATTTTCTCTTGCAAGGTGGAGGTCAGTATGCCTGATATAAACTGGTTAACATTGATAACGTCGTGGTGCAAAATATAGCCTGATTTTAAAGTAGAATCACTCACGAATTTCCTAACCAATTTAGAATTGGTTTCCACCGATGATTAGCCTGATCTTCAAACAAAGTTTCGACTAAAATTGCAATGTGGTCGTCATCTTACCGTTTGAGCAGAATTTTTTTTCTGACCTGTATCCCGATGCTTGAGACTTGCTCTCGAAACGTTTTCGGAATTTTTAAATCAGAGCTCTGATAGTCGTGAGATGAATATTCATTCAGAATGATGCTATTTTTCAATGATTAATTGAATAAAATTGGAAGTTGATGTTCTCCTTCGAAGAATCAACCTTGTATGTATAGTCGCCGGATATGTGATAGTATTCGAACACAGAAACTCCTGGAGAAGTCTCTGTGTCACTAGTGAAATAATGGAGTGTGACATTGTCATGAAGAAGTCTGGTGTGAGGCCTCGAAAAGGTTTTGTAATTCCTCGGAACAATAAAGAGCATGTAATAAAGGTATTCATTTTAAATTAATATGATGCAATTTCGTTTATGATAAATCAGAAAGCTATAAAAATAGGTATTATATTCCCAGAAATATGAAATTCATTTTATTCTCGATGATAAATATACAAGGTGCGATGAAAAATATATCCAAATTGTTACGGGATGGTGTTTATACAGGGTAATATGAAAGAGAATTCAGAACTGCCATAGATTCGACGAAATGCTTTTCATAATACGATATATATAGTGTATTTAGAAGCAAATTTCTTTCATTTGTAATTGTATCCGAGAAGTCAATGATGAAAACTGAATTATTGTATACTGTATTACTGATCTAGCACCCAGAATATGATGATCTTCAGAAGGACAATTTCCTCAGTCATATTTATAGAGTTGGAATGGGATAGAATAACTTTTGAATTTTCATTTCTTGAACAACTTTTTGTACAGGGTGATTTATATGGAATTTATAGTATATCACCTGCTACAGTGAAAAGCTAGCTTCAGAATTCATATTCTGTCATTAGTTTTCATGTGATTCACCTGAAAAAGACTACGAGTACATTGATTAATGTAGGGTTATCTATAAGGAATGGGTAATATTTCACCTACCAGATTCTATAGCGGATGATGATAAATTTCTTGTTCAATAAATTCGAAGGCCAAATATTTATTGATACTTACTGAGATTTGTTTGTAAATAATAAGTCAGTAATGTTGTTTCACTTCACAATTCTTATCACCCATTGGAATAAAATACAATCCAATATAAAATTATGTTTTTTCGACGTGAGGAAATCAAAATATTGTTCGGGTGTAGCAAGGCGTTACGCGAACTATCTTGATTCAACCGAACATGTCAAATCTTATATCGATATCTGACTTCCAGATACCAATAAGCAGAAACATATTCTTCGATAGCAGGTGGAAAATTCTTTATGAATATTCAAGAGATGGAAATTCAAAAGTTGATCTATACCATTATACTGAAATGACTGAGGAAATTGTCCTTCTGAAGACCATACTCTGGGTGCTAGATCAGTAAGATGCAATGGTAAAAAGTTGACTATTCTTGAGTTATATAGCTCCGTTCTCATTGACTTCTCGAATGCAGCAAATGCTTCTTGAATGCTTTTTCATATTACAGTGTATAAGCCTCATGAGGAGGTCCTGTATCTATACATTTCGCAATTCTCGACAATGACCGACGTTGTACTTATATCTTAGTATAGACTCCTCCAGGAGTTTCTGTGTTTGAAAACATATCCGAAGACTATACATATATACAAGATTGATTCTTCGAACAAGAACATCAACTTCTAATTTTATTCAATTAATCGTTGAAAAAGTGCATAATTCTGAAGGAATATTCATAACACGATTATCAGAGCTCTAAATTCGAAAATTCCGAAAAAGTTTCTAGTAAAAGGATCGATCATCTCGATACAGGTCAGAAAAAAAAAATCTGCTCAAACGGTAAGCTGACGACCACAATGCAATTTTACACTCATTCAATTATCATCCTTTAGAAATTCTATCTGAAATCACTGAGGATTCATATCGTCAAGACAAACTGTTTGAAGATCAGGCTAATCGTGATTCATTCGTGACTTATTTTGCTTTGAGTTCAGGCTATATTTCGCACCACGACGTTATCAATGTTGACCAGTTCACATCAATGTCTGGTACCTCCATTTCCATAAATTCCACTGTATCCATCAACCATCAACAATACTCTGTCATGGGAAAATCATGTCGGATCCATCGCCAAAGCTGCTTCACAAAAACTCGGATTTTTATTCCGTGTGAAAAGCTGCTTTGCACCTCAATAACTTCTCATGATTTACTATGCACAGGTACCAAGGGCGTCGATAACTTTTTTTCTTGGGGGGAGATGGGGGTGGTAATATCTTCTTGTTTAGGTATTTGAAGAAAATCATGTTATAGGAAGCCATAAATAATATACAGTGAGGACATGAAAAGTCCTCCCCCTTTCAACCCTTCAACGACCAAAATTTTTTATAAAGATATATGTTGTTTTTTTCATTAAAGTCAATACCTTCATGTTAAATATTGATCGTGGATCCATTTTGATTTTTTTCAATGTTCAAATATTCAGAAAAAACAATATGGTGAACCGTTTTACTAGCGGACCTTTAGGACTCAATAATACTTGTGACGCTTACTGGTATGCACGTCATACCAGTATGTGGACGTCTGAAATAACAATAAAAAGAATATTCTCATTTAGAAATGTTTATGTGCACATGATATAATTTTGAATATTCAACAGAAAACAATTACTTTCCTGGCTATTTGCCACGTCGAACATTGAATAATATCTGTTGAACATTCAAAAGGAGAGCATGAAAAATAAAAATCCTCTGAAATTATGAATTGACATTCTCAAATAGGATAAATAATATGATGTATTATGATATGAAAATATAACTTATCAATTTGTTCAGTATTGAAATGAAAATTGAAATTTATAGGAGAAGTATACTTGTATGAACTCTGATCTTGATGAGCTTGGAACTTCCAAAAAAATCATTCGGATATCTAATCATTCTCAGTAACCTAAATTCCAGTTATTCTTTGATGAATATCAATTTGTAAAACATCGAAAAACTTCAAAAGCTTTTCAGTTTGAAACGACTTAGCCAATTTGCACAAACCAGGCGGTGTTGGGTAGAGAATCGAAAGACCTTCAAAACCAGGTACCCTCTGACCCCCCTTTACATTTTGAAAAATAGTCGATGGTGCCCTCTCGACACTAGGTCACGTGACCACAACCATTTTCATGTCAAAAAGTAGTAAGAGCGGTACGTTTTCATCTTAAATCTACATCTACTCGTCCTCGCTAGTTCGTTCCGTTCGAATGTTAAAGGAGGGGGGGAAGACTTTTTAAGCCCTGACTAGAATTAGAAACAATAATAAACTTCTTTGGACTAACAAATCATGAAGCAAACAGCCATAAACATAAACGTCTATTATATCTATCACCAATATCTTGCAAATTGTTATTATTATTGGGGGGGGGAGGGGGGAGAGTAATTATACCCCCATTTCCCCTCCCTATACCGTCGCCCTTGCCAGATACGGCCCATTCTAGGATACTGATCAGCACCCAAACTCAGATTCCATCCAGAGACGATCCATTCGCCAACTGGCTCAATAGCACTCAATAATTTTTTTTGACATAATTGAAACATCGCTGAAAGATCCAAGACTTTTCACTTTTCTATAAATACTTTCACGAGAAATGTTCTTCAGGAATCTCCGTTATCATTTCATCATTAGCAACTCCAGTCAGACCTACTCGACGAGCCCAGTCAACACATCCTTTCGTCGTCAAACCCGACTTCAAACCTTTGAACATGTCAAACAACATTTTCGTCTTTAGAATGGCAAAGACCTGGAATCCTTTGCTAAAGGAAGTATTCCTAAGCACTCATTATCTCCAAACATTTAAAAACATCCAATACCTACTCTCTCTCCTTATCCCCCCTAGGTGAGAACAATGTTGTTCGAATATAATAGAGAATCTTTTTCGTGCATTCCAAGGGATCGAAGAAAAAATGTTCCTCCATTCATGAAATTGATAAACAGGGGTCCCATAAGTCATGGATCAGAAGAAGTGTGGTGGTAGGGAGGCTCATTCCCAATCAAATAAATCAAATATGTGGATATCCAATTGTTGATCGTTCAAAAGTTATTAAAAGTTTCTGAAAAACGCGATCCATTGAAAAAAAATATAACAAAAAGGTTGTTTTGAATAACCCTATATGTTATACCATTTCGGAATCTGTGTTGAATGGGCAACTTCCTCTGATAGCTGGTCATCTTTGTGGGGAAGTTTTTGCTGCCAGCAGCATTGAAAAATCAACTGAATTTTTTAATTCAACATAACTTAACTGAAACAATTATTTCATACGAAGTAACACAGTTCATGAAAATTATCGCTTTGGAAAGGTGCATCCATGTGGATGAAATTTGTCAAAGAGAAAGATTATTTTAATTTGAAATGATCCCTCCTACCACCTCACTTCTCTTGATCCATGACTTATGGGACACCCTGTATATACTCATTCAGTCACTATAGGATATATAAATACCTTGGTCTTGACCTCTCGATTGGCTTGTCCTCTTGGTTGATACTCTGAAGATGTCTATCAACCATGACGCCTGTCTACAGCATCATGACGAGACAACAAACCTGAAACAAAACTATAGTTGATTATCACATGTTTTTTTTTATAGGATTCATTGAAAGGAATCCGTTTTCAGGATTCTATGTCGATGACATTGAATCGATCGTTATTGTTCTCGTGGAAAAAATGACTTTCCCTTTCATCTTTCAAGTGTCAGCAATGTCAGCATCCGTGAAGGTTCTGGATATAATGAAAGAATTTTAATAGCATTTGGGTCTTTTCTATTGGAGCCTTTTTAATGGCGCCATTCCAGGATAATCTCGCCGAGGCACTAAAAACGTGTGAAGGCAGCGTAAGGTGAGAGAAGGTTAAGAGTGAGATAAGAATGAAGGCTGAAGCAGACTTGACGGCTCTGTATGAAGAGTGCTATAACCATATAACCTAAGGGAATCCTTGTCTTGAAACGAAAATGCCGAATAAACTGCTCAGTGCCCTGACGGACCATGCACATGTACAAGGTGGCCGGAATTGGAGCCTCATCATTGGGATGAAAATTCCGGATACTTTCGGAGATATACGAAAAACAACAGGAATTTCCTAAAACCATTCTCTTTTTTTGAAGTTCTTGGGGGAAATCAATAGAAATGAGTTACACTTCATCAAGACCACTTGTTCTTACCTATGCCTTGGCGTTTTGGAATTTGAAATCCTATGTTTCCTCTCCCAGAAACCATCATCAACATATTCATCTTAAATATGTACCTGGACTTTTCATGTAATTTTTTCACACCTTTGGATATTCCAAAAGCTATGAGCTATCACACATTTTCATTCCCGAATGTTTAGTTATTTACAAAAATTTACGAATTCGTATTGAATATAAAAAAATACAGAGAATGTCAATTTTTGTAAATAACTAAACATTCGAGAGTAAATAAAATGTGTCAGTGCTCATAGCTTTTGGGATATCCAAAGGAGTAGAAAAATTAAATAAAAATGCAGGTCCGTATTAAAAAAAAGAAAGTTGATGATGGTTTCTGGAAGACGAAACGTCGAATTTCAAAATTGAAAACGCCAACTTGTATTGCAGAAATAGTGTCCATAATAAAGTGTCATCCATTTCGATTAATTTATACAATATTTTGGGCGATTCTGAGATTAAAAGTTCATGTGAACATATAGGTCCAGAAATGCACCGTTCTCAAAATACAGGGTGTCAAATTTTTTGAAAAAATCGCTGTTCCGTCGATACCGTGAGAACCTTTTTTCCAATAGAGCATTGTCAGTGACGTCATATGACGTAAAATTGTCGGCCATTGAACAGCTGTTGGAGGTACAAGTATGAACATTTTCGGTAAGGGTACATGTAACTTTCTTGCACATTTCCTACTATCATACAATACCTGGAGCATTTATTAATTGACATGTTTGTTAATTTATCCATCGTGAATACTGTGAGAAAAGTGAATAAGTCGAATGGAAAGTTCAAATTGCTTCATTTGTCAATTCAAAATCACTGTATTCACTTGAAGTTCAGCTCTAATATACCAAATAAACCTCGATAGATTAAATTAAAATCACACACATATTTGTTTATCCTCCGATCAGCTGATAAAAATGACGGGTGCGCCATGTTGTGACGTCAGGTGACACTGCTCTATTCAGTTTGAGCTTGGCAGTGTTGTTTGTAGTAGTAAGGAGCCAATTTAGCCATGGTTAGGATACAAGGAAAATCGAGTTTTCAAAAATTCAAAAAAAGTTGTCACCTTCTGTATCCTAGAAGTTATGAACTCCATCAGACGTATTTTTATAAGTACTTTCAATCCTAAAACTATCAAATAAATCATCCCTTGAAGATGTCGACATACTCCAATAACGCCCTGTATACAAAGATTTATGACGAAAACTTGAAATGGGACTTGTGGTTTTGAATAGCGTATATAATTGTGAAGAAACGCCCAGACATTTCAATTTCTGTTCGGAGGCAGATAATTTTCAACCCGAGATTTGTCTAACAGTGACGTACATAGAATATTTTTGTTATTTGAAAATCATTATTTTTCAAACGGTTCATTGGATTCAAGGAAGTGAGCAGTGTTTAGAGACTTCGAAGGGCTCATCAATGATGACTAGACCCTCCTAGCATTATACGGGTTGGTCACCTCTCTATTTGAGTGGCGATTTTGCAAATAAGAAAAAATTGTTGAATTGAGAATCTGACACATTATCCAGAAGAGAGTGTAGATCTGGTATGAATTTGTCTTTTCCTCCCGTGCATACAAGTTATGAAAAAACAGAGAACGTTTTGAGAAAACACATGTATCAAATATTTTTGTACCAAGTTCCGAAATCGGGTTCAGAAAATTCTCCACCAACGGAGACAATTTTTCAAAGTTGAAGGCAATTATTATATACTGCTCCTTTTCGAATAATGAAATTATATTTTCTAATTTTTCTGGTGTGAATTTAAGGAGATTAGTTTAACTGTTTGCTGTAAAACTTTCACTTGAAATTGAATTCCATTCGTTGTGACACCAAGATCAATGAGGGTAAGAGGGAGACTGTTCATCTCCGGATTTAAGTGCTTTCTGCTGTCGTCGGCACTTTTTCATTCTTACCTGTGCTTTCTTCATTTCCACTCCTATTCTATCCCTGAATAAAAATCTGGAAATCATGCTGCAAGAATTCGCATTCTGAACTACATGTAACCACTCTTTGAACAAATAAAGATTTTTCATGTGTAGATTATTCAACTACCTTAGGAATTTTTTATTTCGACGGAAATTCATGAGATTCGACGAGACGTTATTTTTTGTCTTCGTCTATCACTATGTATGATTTATGCTTCTGCTGCTTCAATACCTTTAATGCTTCTTATTGAGTTATGTTTCAAACGATCTCCTTCTATCAAACTTTACATTTGTTCTTTTTACTTCAGTACAATTTCTCGATGAAAGCTCCTTGAACATTAAATATGGTTTGGTAATAGGGTAGCTATTCCAGGAAAAACCTGCTTTTGAAGTTATTACTCCTGTATGAAAGCTCGGTTTCTGTTTCCGACAACTTTTCCTAGAACTCGATATTCTTTGAGATGGCAAAACCTGCACAAGCAACTTTTTTATAGTTACGTAGATATCTAAGAAAGCTTCATTGGTTTAGGAAGTTTCTGAGAAGAGTTATGTGAGAAAGTTCAGATTTTGCGGTTTGTGTATGAGAATGTTTCTTCAAAGACAAGTTTCCTATCTCGAGGCTGTTTGAGTTGGCAAGGGGTCCAGATATACGGTCTACAGTATGTTTAGCTCTTACTGGTTTGCATGCATATAGACGATAATTGTTTTAAAAAATCATAGGAAGTTGCAAAATCAGTATCAAGATTTCTGGTCAAGATAAGACTTTTTCCTCATAAACATGATTGTGTCCGCAAACTTTCCGTTACCGATCTACAGAGCGTTAAAGTTATTTATTTAAAAAAAAAAAGGGTCGTTAGGTTTCTTATTTTTTCGGTAATACTTGGACACTTGTAATTTATTGAGATCACAAACCGATCACAAACCGAATACGTTTAGCGTTTTTCATAAAGATAATTAATTAATTCTAACAAACTACAAAAATGTTCTAATTTTTTTTCTCGATTATGGTCGCAGATGCGTAAAAATCACTTGAGACAAACGTTTATGAATAAAACAAGAAATTCATCTATTTCTATTCTAGTCTTTGTATCCATATTAGGAGTCTCAGTATCCGAAAGTTTGTCTTGGCATAACTATATTCCCAATATATAGCCAAAGCCAAGTTATATCTCTCGAGCTGTAAGTAGTATCACCTCCTCACTTGAGATTTGGATTCAAAACACATTTAAAATTAAATCATCTAAAATATTGCCTTACAAGAATTCGTAGTAGTTTGTCACTTTAAGATTCTTCACCTGTAGACGTCTTTCCGGAAAATTACAATACGAAGTCCTTCATGAAAAGCTGTTTCCTTTTACAAGCACTTAAATTCGTAATGAAAAGGGATCCAATGGGTTCCAATTAGTTTATAACATGCTCGAACACCGAAAATGCCAAGAAAATGATTATCTCAGTGTATCAAAAGCGTGAAGAAAATCAGGAAAAGTTAAAAGGAAGCTTGGCGGGAAAGTAACATGCACCTCGATCGGTCACTGACCTACAACACAATCCTACAACTAACAGTACGGGGGCACACATCGAAACATGTAGACGGACGTCAACTCACCTGGGACGATGCGCGCGTAAAAGGCACGTCTGCCGTGTGGTCGAGCGGCGCCCCGTGCAACGTACGCTAGCGCGTCGTGTTAACATGTGCACGAAAATCATGGGAAAAATGTGTCTATCGTCTCGGGCTTCGGAGGGCCTGCGCCCCTGAAAGGGTCTGGCTGGCTGGCCGCCCGGCGCGAGCTGCTGCGCTCGATCCAGCGCTCGGAAAGCCAGCCCCACGTGCTGCCGAATATATGAGGAGAGGGCCCAACGCGAACTTGGAGTTGGAGCTCACCTGCCCCCGAACACGGCTTTTCGGTAGGTCCCCGAGCCGCCCCCGTCGCCCCCACCTAACCCTCACACCATCTGGACCGTCCGGCATTCGGGACGTTGACTTGATGATTGTCAGCTGGAGGCAACGAGAAGTTGAACCATGTATCGTGTCGACCTTCGTTTTAGGGTTCCGTACCTACCTCAAAAACTGACACTCGTCTCTGTATCTCGTCTGTATGTCTTCTGTATCTCTAAATCTCTTCTGTCTCTCTGTATCTCCTCTGTATCTCTGTATCTCTGTATCCCTTCTGTATCTCTGTATCTCTGTATCTCTATATCTCTGTATCTCTGTATCTCTGTATCTCTGTATCTCTGTATCTCTGTATCTCTGTATCTCTGTGTCTCTGTATCTCTGTGTCTCTGTATCTCTTATGTATCTCTGTATCTCTGTATCTTTGAATCTCTTCTGTATCTCTGTATCTCTGTATCTTTGAATCCCTTCTGTATTTCTGTATCTCTGTATCTCTTATGTATCTTTGTATCTTTGTATCTCTGTATCTTTGTATCTTTGTATCTCTGTATCTATGTATCTTTGTATCTCTGTATCTCTGTATCTCTGTATCTATGTATCTATGTATCTATGTATCTATGTATCTATGTATCTATGTATCTATGTATCTATGTATCTATGTATCTATGTATCTATGTATCTATGTATCTATGTATCTATGTATCTATGTATCTATGTATCTATGTATCTATGTATCTATGTATCTATGTATCTATGTATCTATGTATCTATGTATCTATGTATCTATGTATCTATGTATCTATGTATCTATGTATCTATGTATCTATGTATCTATGTATCTATGTATCTATGTATCTATGTATCTATGTATCTATGTATCTATGTATCTATGTATCTATGTATCTATGTATCTATGTATCTATGTGTCTATGTATCGTAGTATTTCTGTATCTCGGTCTCTGTTTTTTCCATTTTCAAGTTCCCAATGTGAATTCGTCTCCATTAAATATTACTATACTATATTTTGGATGAACCATTCCTCATGAAAAGTTATGGAACACGATTAATGCAGGGTGATTTGGATATATTCCTTGAATAGACTAGAAAGGCCCCTTTTGTGAGTCGTTGAATGATACCGGTATTATATGACGATCAAAAAATCTGCAAACAGCTGTAGAGGTTTCTATCGCTATAGAAGTCGTTGCCATGGGAAACATGCAAACGCATAAGGCTGAGAGTGAAAAATCCATGGAAGGATCGAAATACTGTCATACTTCGAATAAAATAGATGGATATATTATAACAAGTTAGAAGTCGATGTACTACAAGTTCTATGGTAAAAAAGTAGTGAAGCTTCCATTGTGACATTACTTAACTAGTGGATATATATAATCATATTTTTAATTGACATTCCAATGAGAAGATCTATCTCGCATCGTTGAAAAAATTGATTTCAAAATAATATTGTTTTCTTGAATCACTTGAAATTATTGTCACAGTTATATGGTGGTATCTTGAAGATAAAAAGTTCAGCACATTCCAGCCAGGCCAGATTGTGAAGTCTTAACGAAATAAGTTTTGAATTCACAGAGCAAAAATGTAATGGTGAACTGATGAAAATTAACAGCACAACTTTTGAAACTCCCAAGTTCCAGATTTTTTAAGAAACGCATAAACACAATGTTATATATTAGTCACTACAGAACATTGTTCATTTCAGTGTTTTCCTTATAGACCAAAATGAATTGACAGAGTGAAAATAGTGTTTCAAAGTCGAGCTTTGAACAAATAATGTCACTATTTGGCGGCTTCGGTGGACTGTAAATAAAGTTACTATTTACTATTTATTCGATCCCGACTCCAATTAAAGGAAAATCATGGGGATCCGACAGTGCTAGAATTTTTAGTAATCTGTGTAAACAACATGAGCATTGCGCCAAGTTCATTTAATTAATGGAAACTGGTTAAATGAATGAACGGCACTATAAATCCGGCACTCATGTTAGGATTTTTAGAGACAGTATACAACTATAAAAAAATTCATTGGGATAAAAAAACGTATTATACAAAGTTTTTATAATTGTGGAAAGTGAGGGCACAGATATGTGTGTATAGATATCTGTGTATGTAATTGGGCTACCTGGTAACATAATGTCGTCTCTGAAATTATTATTTTGTAAACAGAACATTTCTCACTGAATTTGAGCAATTTGTATACGCATACTTCCTGAATTAACCTGTGAATGAATCTACACAGGTCTGAACTTCCAAAGAATTCTGCGAATTTTTTCCTGCATTACATTTGTATGTATTTCTGCTATATTTCAATGACGAGGTCTTTGAAACAGTCCAGTTGGGTTTTCGATTTAGGAAGCAACTTTTCTTTTCTTCAGGTCATTCTGGAACGGTTGACACGAACTTCGTTGGACGATAATTTTTCGTCCAACCTCTTCCGTTTGTGAATAGCAACATGGTTGTAGAAAATATATTGCTATCATAGCAAGATTCGAAAAAGTGGAATTCTAATTATCGATTTTTGGCAATATGAACTGTCAAATTCAATGAAATATTGTTAACCTTCTTGTTATCTCGTCAACATCAATTTTGTGCTCGCTTTCTTATAACAAGGTATAGTGGATTCTTTGTTTTTGCACTGAAATTTCTTCTAAGTGTTTGAAAATTCAGAAAATAGGTGATCAATATCATATGAGAATTCACTTGTGTAACTAACTACTTGAAAGCCTTTCCTTTAAGCTTCAATTTGTAGAGGAATTATTGAGTGATTATAAACATATAGGTTCTTTTGTGTGACCAACTACTTGAAAACCATTGCTTGAAGTTCCAATGTGAGAACTTTTGAGACTATAATTTGAGTTGCCTGATGGAAATATTTCGCCTGAATAAGCCAGCAACGTGAGTTTTTCCGATTATATAAATCAGTTTTTTTTTTTCAAAGAAATGGCACCATCATTTTCATCAACAGACTCTTGGTTGTTTTCTTATTTCGGGGACATGATTGATTAGTTGCACCACTCACACAACGAACGACGACCAAATTCAGCAAATACATAGAGAGTCTGTCAATTTTTACAATATAATTTCGGAAAATGTCAGTGAGGGACAGACCAATTTGAGAGGTAAGATAATCATAAACTCTTCTTCTTCATAAAATAATGGCAATATCGGTACCAGTGTTGTCAGCTCAAACATTCTCCATTTTTCAACTATATTGCTATTACTTCTTACCAATTTTGTAGTAATATTGTTATATGTTATGATCATAACAATATTGTAATCTTAGCAATGTTATTACAAGATCCGAACAGAATCGACACGAATATATTCTTCGTCAAGTGAATAGATGTTTTTCAATAATGGGAAACTGAAGAATAAGATAGTCATATTAGAAACCCTAGTTTTGTGATATTAGAAATAGAAACCCTAGTTTTGTGCTATCGATCCGCTAGTGTGAAATATTCCCATGGATCCAGATCCATTCCAGTTATTTAATCGATCACCGAAACGCTTAAATCTCTTGGGATCGGTTGTTTTCCTGGAATTCGAGATCGCATTCCAAGATTCGTGATTTCACTACAAATGTACCTTTGTTTTCCGATTCGACACCACTTCCGATCCTTTGTCTGAATAGAATAAACATTTGAAGGCGTACGGAATATACCAAGTGGTCCACTTAAGACTATCCACGAACTATTTTGATTGAAATGATGAGATCTAGCGCTTTGAAATCAGCATATTCCATTCGATATTTCAAAAGACCAGATATGAAGGTGGAGTCGTGACGTATTAGTCCCGAACTGTAGCTATCTCTTTCTGATTCCTTGCCGTTCTGCAGTGTTGCAGTGTGATTGGTCAGCTCAAGGATTAAAGGCGTGTTGGGACTAAGACGTCACACCAGTCAAACCAATGGATTGACACCGTATAAAATGGCGCCAGAAGTGTGTGTTTTGAAATGAGCATATTTTAATTCATTTTTTTCATCGCCCTAGTATGAATGAAAAAGAAATCGGAATTTTATTTACTGGTAGTGATTTGATATGAAGCTCACGATAATGTTTTTTAAAATCAGTGGTCTCCTTCATTATTTTAACACAGCAACTAAATATTCGAAGTTTGTATGAATAAGAGGATGCTTTCTTAGATTCTTTCCGTCATACAGGATATTTTCCAACAAGAAATTCCATTTCAGATTCTGTGCATGCAAAGATATAAATAATCATGTTGTCATATATTTCACGCTGAAAAATTTCTCTGCCACCGAAACAGCCCAAACTTTCAGTTTTCTCCGAACCTTTCCGCAAATGTTTACAGCTTCCCCTAGGTTGTTGATTATGTCGATCTGTTTCTTGGAAAATTCGGGCCTCTTCGTAAGTCGTAAGTTGTCGAACTGTTCGGAATCGATGGTTGCCACTAATGTCACAGTTGGAAGAACACCATTGACCATATCGAAAACCCGTATACTGTGTAGATCAGCCAAATGAAAAAAAAAATATATCTCACAAACTAAGGATATAGAGCGGCCACTATAGGAAAATTTCGAAAACAGAGTCAGTGTTCTAATATTGATAGCGGAGAGCAAGTAGACGAGACAATAGACAGTTTTTCGCCGAGGTATGCATATTACATTCTTTCGTCAACCTCGAAGACTTATATTCACACAACACGGTCCTATTGACACGTAAAATCTATAGGATTTCGTTAGTAATTAATTTAACAACAGCAAATGACAGTTGTCAAGTCAATCGCCGCTTTCGCACCGTACCGCATCATAGTGACCCTCTATAGTGACCACACCGGACGAGAAGTACTGACAGCTGTCAACTGTCATTTGCTGTCGTCAAATTGATAATCAACGGAATCCGATAGATGTCACCTATGAATAAGACCTACTTTACACCTCAACAGCTTCTCATGATCTACAAAGCGCAGATACGGCCTGTTCTAGAATACTGTTCCCACATATGGGGTTCAGCACCAAAACATACCCTGATGCTCTTAGATTCCATCCAGAGAAGAGCCATCCGCCTGGTGGGTGACGCCACACTCACTCACTCTTTGACATCATTGGAACACCGTAGAAAGGTCGGCGACCTTTCACTTTTCTACCGATACTTCCACGGGAAATGTTCTTCGGAAATCTCTGCTATCATCCCTCCACTAACAATACCAGTCAGACGAACTAGACAAGCCCAGTCAGCAAATCCTTTCGTTGTCAACCTCGAAAGATGTCGAACAGCACTTCATCAAAACTCCTTCATCCATAGGACGGCTAGGCTCTGGAATTCATTGCCTGAGGAAGTATTCCCAACAACATATAATCTCCAGAAGTTCAAAAAAAATTCCAATACCTACCTCCTATCCCTATCCTCCCTAGGAACGCACGATGTTCTTTGAACATTATAGGGACTCCCTTTCGTGCGCTCCAAGAGATAAAAAAAAATGTGGTGTGAATAAAAATGTGTTCGAGATCGGCGAAAAACTATCAATTGTCTCGCCGGATTGTTAGCTTCTTCTAGTCCTCGACTATAATTGACAATTTTTCGTCCTTGGTACATAAATAACTATTTTTTCGAGGTCGACGAAAAACAATACTTTTTTTCCTCGTCAAAAAATAATGAGGAAATCGAGAAAGTTCTTCAAGAAAGTTTCCCTAGGAAGTTTTACTAGAAAGTTTTCCGTGATAATTTTCCGAGAGAGTTTTTCCTAGAGTTTTTTCTCCTGGATTTTGGATCCTCTAAAGCTCTTCGAAGAAATGAGCACCTAAGAGTAAGAATTTGTTTTTGGATGTATGATAAATTGACATTCATCATACAGGACGAAAGAAAGAAAGAAATTCTGAATTGAGAAAACCTAATCACGAATCTGCGATTGAGGTCTATAAAAATAACAAGTTTCCATCTTTCAAGATTGAACCCCTTGATTGGGCGGAAGTAGTAAAAAGGAATATTCTCAGATATATTCATGAATACAAAAAAATGGATATATATATATATATAAAGAAATACATTGAGAATTCGTATTCTCCATGTGATGAAAATATTAATTCTTTCTCGATTTATTCAACAGAAAACAACTACTTTCCTGGCTATATGCCACGACGAATATTGAATTACATCTATTGAACACACACGATAAGAATTTGAAAACAAAATCTTCTCAAGTAGAGAATTTGCATTCTCCTTCATATAAAGATATGCATATAATATCATCCTGATTTTTATTTTTCATGCTCTATTTTTGGATATTCAACAAATATAATTCAATGTTCGACGCGGCGAATAGCCAGGAAAGTAGTTGTTGTCTGTTGAATAATCAGAATGATACTATATTCATATCTTTATATGAAGGAGAATGCAACCTCTACTTCAGAAGATTTTCTTTTCAAATTTTCATCGTTTGTGTTCAATAGATGTAATTCAATATTCGTCGTGGCATATAGCCAGGAAAGTAGTTGTTTTCTGTTGAATAAACCGAGAAAGAGTTAATATTTTCATCACATGGAGAATGCGAATTCTCAATGTATGTCTTCATATATATATATATCAATTTTTGTGTATTCATAAATATATCTGAGAATATTTCTTTTCAATAAGAGTAAGGAATTTGATGTTGGGTATAATATAATATGATATGTGAATTTGTCAGATGTGCTGAATATTCGAAAATCGTTTTTCGCGTAAGCAAAATGGGAGCGATTTCCGATAGTCTGGAAACCCATTAAAAGTCCGTTTCTCAGATGTGTCATTAATAATTCATTTCAATCTAAAGATATCAATCCTGCTATAAAGCTCACACAGGCCATGAAAAATAATGATCCCAGATAAGATTCAGTCAACCAGTAATGATTCCCGAATTTTCAGTAAAAGAAAAAGATACCATATATAGATAATATTCTGATGGTAGAATAAACTGTTCTTTCACAAAGAAGACTCAATATAACAAGAAACAAGTGATATTTATATTTTTTCTCTGAAAAATTCAAACAGTTTTCAATAATCATCGGATAAGGTGAGAATAACAAAACTATGATACTTTCGACAAAACCTATTAAATTATTTGTTAGTGTCTAATTACTGTTAGCCAACTATGACATCTGATGTATACATGCACTAGCAATTATAACCGGTGAATTATTGTTTCCGGAAAACCGGAGTCAATTTATTGTGATGTAACTCCGGAAAATTCAATAACGGACTAACAATACTCGTTCGAAGCGGTAGGTCATCTGTCAGGAACAGTAGGAACAATAATCCCAGAAATTCCACAAAACAGACCGGCTCAAGTGTTTCAAGGGTTAATCAGAAATTCTGGCCAAATCGTAAACATTTATGGAATCGTAGCCGCCATTCACATTTTAAAGTTGCTTGTTTTTCACTGAAGTATCTTCGTACGGCAGAATCAGAATCCACGAAGTATACTGGACGTCCCAGAGCATTTAGGCCAACAGATATCTGGGTTATCTAGCATGAAAAAAATTAATAGGAGCAAATGCTCTCCAATATGGTGAAATCAAATCAAATCACCTTTGTGTCAAACAATCTATACTAGAAACCACCCCTTATTTTTTTGGTTCATCTTATTGCACTTCTTATTCTCAATTCGACTATATGATGTATCGTCTAAATGACAATTACCAATTGTAGAAAGTGAAATTAATAATTACGATGATTTCTGAATATTGAATCTGATATACATACCTTTTATGTTCTCGATTTCAACAATAGTGCTAGTCTGGGTGTAAACATATTCTTGATACTTAGATTAGATTTGATTTACAGTGGAGCCTTCATGCTATTTGCCTCCACACCGCGACCTCTTCAGATCTATTGTGTCTGCCCTCAAAATCGTTTAGAAATTTTTGGCTATCCCTGCCTTCTCTATGAGACTCCATATGCTAGCTTTCAGATCCCCTGTGTAACTTTCGGCACTTGGTTTTATCTCACCCAGCGTAAGGAAACCTAGTCATGACAAGCCCTCACAGTGGCAAAGTATGTGTACTGCTGTTTCCTCCTCTTCCTGGCAGAACCTGCACAGCAGTTCTTCAGTCAGACCTATCGTACTCATGTGTTTGTTGAGCCTACAATGCCCTGTGAAAAGTCCCACTAGTATTCTAGTTGTACTTCGTTTCTGGTTCTGGAGATATTCAGTGAATGTTGGCGATGGTTTTTTAATAAACTCTCTTGCCTGAGGATTGAAATTCGGTTTGCATCCATGATTTCCTACTTGTTTTTTGTATAGCTTTCGCAATGCCACAAGAGGGTTCTGGGCCATTCAGAGCTTTGATTGCTTCTGCTCGGGCAAGTGAGTCTACCTCTTCATTGCCCTCGTACCTTTATGTGCTGGTACCCATGTTAGAGTCAGTCTGTTCTGACTGCCCAGTTCATTTAGGGTTTCTAAGCAGTTCCATACTGGCTTTGAGTTAACTTGCATTGGGTTAACTGCTTTGATTGCCGCCTGGCTATCAGAATAGATTGCAATGGTTTTCCCTTTGAACTCTTATTGCCTTATAAATTCTTTTACGCAGTGATGTTTTGCAATAATTTCTGTCTGAAACACCGTCACGTATTTGCCTAAGCTCAGTGAGATTCTTCCTCGGTTTTGGAGCCGTCCGTATAGAAAGCAATGTTTGCATTGATAGGAGGCCCTTCCTTCAATGCCTCTCGGTCCGTTATACTTATTTTGAATGTTTTTTCAAAGCTTTATTTTGGAATTATACCATCTGTTGGCATTTCCATGATGGGATCGATTTCCAACTCTTCATATAGCTTCCTGTAGTCTTTACCGTGCGTGTTGCTAATGGATGCTTGACCCCTGGACAATCTACTCACGACTGGCTTCGCCTTGAATGTATATTCGATATCGTTCGATATTCGATATCGTTGGTAGCGGTGATGAAACTCAAAGAAACTCCTTTCATTATGGTTCATAGTGATCGAACTGTAAGAGAGGCTGAAAGCAGATTTTGCGGTTCCAGTTTCAACCCATTGTCTGTTTTTTGGAATCTTCGATACTACTGAGGTAGGTGCATACATACAGGGTATCTGTAAATAAAACCCTACACTCGATGGATTAACATATTTCTTATTTTATTTTCTGAACAAGTCCTTTGTTTGCAAGATGTGGAGGTCGACATCAAATATCGAAGTCAAAAGTCAAATGAGTTTTATGCCAACTGTTGGGACAGAGAAAATGAGTTTGCTTCCAAGGTAATGAAAAATCATTTTGGCAAACAGTATGTTCCTAGTTACTAGTATGAGTCCTTCAATATATACGGAACTAGGTCTAAGGATAATGAGAATATTTTTTCTGTAACAATTATGATGTGATTTATATATGATACTGTATAATATTTTCATGCAACCTATTCGACATGTTATTTTTGAACCAACAATATGTAGTAGTATGTATGTATGTAGTACGAGCAACAATAAGTTATTTCGATGT